CAAATTTAACTCCTTCATCATTTCCATACATATCTTGGGAAGCTCTCTTCCCCCCCCCCCCTTGTTCTTCCCCCCATTACTGTGGTCTTTTTGATAATCAGCAATAGAATTAAAGTCTCCAATGATACAAATATTTCTTTTTTCCAATCCTACTATTTTTCCATAAAGATGCTTAAAAAACTCTTTTTGATCTCTGTTCGGGGCATAGATTACCACTAAGAGAATTGGGATGGCATTAATCCAGATCTGCAAAACCAGAGTTCTTCCCTCAGAATCCAACCATATTAAATCTGCTTTCAAATCTTCTTTAGCATATACTGCAATCCCTTTCTTTTTCCCCATGTCTGCTGGTGCGGTAAATAGCTTCCCTAATTTCAGACATTCTAGGTATTTTTCATCTGTTTTCTTTATATGAGTTTCTTGTAGGCATATTATATCAGCATTTTGTTTGATTTGTTTAGCTATTATCCTTTTCCTTTTTATTGAGTTTAAACCATTTATATTAATTGATAGTAGTTTCTTTTCTTCTTCCATTTAATTAATTCTGTTTCACACTTTGTGTTGTAATGGCTCCGGTCTCTCCTTGTTCCTGAAGATGTGTCCTACTTTCTTCTCTCTCCTGTTGTAGATGAGTATTTCCTTGATTTTCTAAAGTTCCATCTCTGTTCTTATGATAGCCTTGATCTTCCTGGGAGTTTGTTTCCAGTTCATCCTTACTGCTCTAGTCTTCCAGACCTACCAATCGCTCATAAAATTCCTGGGCCTTTTCCATGGTGTCTATTTTAATTTTCCTTTCATTCCAAAAAACTAACATCTCCTCTGGGATTAGCCATTTAAATATGATTCTTTTCTGATTTAGGTAAGCTGCTAAGAACTTGTAGTCTCGTCTTTGTTCTCTTACTCTTCTTGGTATTTGTTTGAGAATCAAGACTTCTTTACCTTTATACATGATTGTTTCATCTCTTGACATCCTATATATGATATCCCGGATACTCCTTCTCGAAAATCGTATGTAGACTTCTCTTGGGCATTTGTGGAGTCTCGCATAATTAGTGCTAATCCTGTAAACTTCATCAAACTCCCTTAAGATGTCATATGTGGTGGTCCTGTATAGAAGCTCAAAAATATTGGCAGAAAATTAGAAATTGGGTGGAAAAAATGACAAGAGAACAGATCAAATTCAAACCAGAGTCCTTTCTGTTAGGGATCTTTGATAAACAAATATCAAAAAAAGTGAAATATATAATAATACACATTTTGACAGCGGCCAGATTGGCTTTTGCACAATGTTGGAAGCAGCCTCATGTTCCATCAGAGGAGATGATCATTCAAAAAATTTCAAGTTGTGCAGAAATGGACAAATTAACTTTGGCATTAAAAAATAAAGACACTTCAATATACTACAACAGCTGGAACTGCTGGTACAAATGGATAGACCAAAGATAGACTTCACACTAAAAGGCAAAAGATGATAGGATAAATCCATAGTAGTGATACACAGATATATGTAAGGATTAGGTGTGTATATATGGCGTAAAATACGGATAAAAAAGCGGTCTTACAAACTGTTGAAGATGGGAATGTTTTTAATTGTTTTCTATTTTTTTCTTTCTATTTTCTTCTCCCTTTCTTCTTTTTCTCTTTCATTTATGTATGTGTTGTTGGTTTGTTTTAATTGTAAAATCAATAAAATTTATTTAAAAAAAATATTAGAAGACCCATTGGAAACAGCACCCAAATTAATAGAAAAAATAGAAGAATATGGAAAAGTAGCAGGTTTGAGAATAGATAAAGACAAAACAAAGATATTCACAAAGAATATGCTAGCAAGACGAAAGAAAGAGTTGGAAGAAATTTTAAAAATACAGGTCACGAACAAGGTTAAATATTTAGGGATACTTATTACAAGATGTAGTACACTGAAGGAAGATAACTATGTTAAACTCAAACAGCAGATTGCGACAGATTTGATAAAATGGGAAAAACTGCAACTATCATTGATTGGGAGAATATCTACAATTAAGAAGAATATATTGCCTAGAGTTTTATATTTATTCCAGACAATTCCTATTCGACTAGGGAAAGAGTTTTTTGAAGATTTAAATAGAATTGTGTTGAAATATATTTGGCAGGGTAAAAAAGCAAGAATAAAATTAAAACTGTTACAAGATGCAAGAATAAGAGGAGGGTTTGCGTTGCCCAATTGGGAGTTATATTACCAGGCGTCAAGTTTGATGTGGGTAAAGGAATGGATAACACTAAGGAACAGTAGATTACTAGAAGGTCATGACTTGCTATTGGGATGGCATGCCTTTCTCTGGTATAAGGGAAATAAAACACAGGGGTATTTTAGAAGACATTATATTCGAGAGGCATTGTTTTTGAACTGGGAGAAGATAAAAAGACAATATTACTTAAAAATTCCAACATGGATATCAACTAATGAAGCTTTTTCTTATCCAATAATATATAAGAAGGAACAAACAATTAGATATGGTGAGATATTGAATGAAAATGGTGAATTTAAATCTATGCAAGCATTGGAAGAACAAGTTGTAAAAATGAATTGGCTTTCATATTTCCAAATACAATCTAGGTTTGATAAAGACTCTAAAAGCAGAAAGTATTTATGATAAGTTGATTGATTTAGATAAAATTTTGATGGGTACTGATGAAAAGGTAATTAAAAAAACTTTATGGACATCTATTAGAATTTAAATTGGAGGAGGAACAAGTTAAAGAAACAATGATTGCTTGGGGGATTTTTTTTGGATATGAGATTAATTTATAAAAAGGGCAAAAATTGTGGTCTCAAAATTATAAAATGACAATGTCAACTGCATATAAAGAAAATTTGTATAAGATGTTTTACCGGTGGCACTTACCCCCAACAAGACTTGTGAGAATGTTTAAGAATACATTGGATAAATGCTGGAAATGTCATCAGATACCTGGTTCATATTACGATATGTGATGGACATGTGATGCAAAGAAATATTGGACTAAAATCCACACATGGTTGGAAAAAATGATAAAACAACATATAGACTTTAAACCAAAGATCTTTTTATTGGGAATCATATCAGACATATACAATGAAGAATTGAAATATTTGATTGTAAATGTTTTAACAGCGGCTAGAATTGTATTTGCGAAGAACTGGAAAAATGACAAAATACCTATGCAGTAGGAAGTTATTAAAAAAATTATGGACTGTGCTGAAATAAGTAAACTGACATTTGAAATTAGAGAACAAGAAGACAAGCAATTTTATATGATATGGGATTTGTTTTATCAATGGTTGGATAAAAAGACACGGTAAGGTAACAGAATAGGTAATTTTGTTATAGAAGTTTAATAGACTGATACAAAATATAATGTAGACATATATAACCACTGGATGACAGCATAATATAATATTGATGGAATAAATAGCAGGATAATTAATAATTGATAAATAGATAAGCATATGTTAGTTTGACAATGTGAGATTGATATCAATTGTGAACAATTATGAAAGGATCGCACAAAAGATTCTAAACCAACTGACACACTGTATGTACAAAATGGAAGATGGTTTTATGTTTTTTTTAGGTATTGTCTGTGTATGTTTATCTTAAAATAAAAAAATATATAAAAAAAGTTAATTTATCCATCTCGGCACATGACATTATTTTCTGAATAACCAGTTCATCTGGAGGTATAGATGAGTGTTTCCAGCACTGGGTGTAGACAATTCTGGCTGCTGTCAGGATATGTAATATTATATATTTTATATTTCTCCTGTATTTCTTCTTAAATATCCCCAATAAAAATAATTCTGGTTCTAATTCTATTTGTACTTTAGTAATCTCTTGCAACCATTTTTTGATTTTTAGCCAATATTTTTGAGTCTCTGGGCATGAACACCACATATGATAGAATGTACCTTTCTTCTTCTTGCACTTCCAACATATCAGATTTATATTAGGATGCATCTTCGCTAATCTCGAAGGAGGCAAATACCATATGTAAAACATCTTGTAGGCATTCTCTTTGTATGCGGCCAATTACATTAACTTATAATTTCAATTCCACATGCTTTCCCATTCTGTCAAATTTATATTATACCCTATGTACTGAGCCCAAGCTATCATGCATCCCTTCACAATCTCTTCCTCTAATCCACCTCCAGCAAGTACTTATAAATTTTTGTAATTTTTTTTGTCTGGGCCTATTAAAATTTTATCTAATCGTTGTGGTTTCAAATATATTCCAAAATCCTTAATATCTTTTTTGTATCTATTTTGTAGCTGAAGAAATGCTCACCAGTCAATATGTATCCCTTGCTTTTGGAGATCTTGCATAAATTTCAAGTTTCCTTCAATGTCTAATACATCTTTATATTATATCATCTTAGCTAAGTCTTAAGTGTTTGGGTGGATCATAGCCTCCATTGTAGATAACCAAATTGCTATCTTCATATAGTGTCTTTTTTTTTATTTTAGTCCAATTTTGTAACAGGGAGTCATTAATTAGATTTCTATGAAAATACTGTTGTTTCTTAGTTCCTGTTTCCCACAAAAAGGCATGTCATCCTCTTTGCAGGTCATGTTCTTCCAGATTTAGTATTCTTTTATTGGTTAAATTGACCCAATTTTTCATCCAGATTAACGCTGCTGCGCTGTAATATAACTCCCAATTTAGAAGACCCAATCCTCCTCTGCTTTTTACATCCTGTAATGATTTTATTTTTATTCTAAGTTTTTTGCTTAACCAGTTAAATTTCAGTGTGAGTTCATTAAAAAAGGATTGATCTAGTCTAGTAGGGATCATTTGAAATAAATATAAAAATTTGGGTAAGATGACATTTTTATAGATGCTACTCTTCCCAGTAAAGATAATTGCAATTTAGCCCATAATTCAAAACCTTTTTTGTTTGTTTTAATAATTTATCATAATCTCCCTTATTGTTTTACATTTTGTGGTCAGCCATATACCTATATATTTAATTTTCTTTATTGTTTGTAGTCCCGTTATTCTTTCTTATTCTATTTGTTGTGATTCCATTAAATTTTTAGACAAGGCTTTCGTTTTCTGTCTATTAATTTTCAGTCCTGCTATTTCCCCATATCTTTCTAATTCGCTAATTAGCTCCTTTCCTGTTTCTATTGGGTCTTCAATAAAGAAGACCATATCATCTGCAAAAGCTTGTAATTTGTATTCTTCTTTCCTGACTTTTAGTCTTTTTATTTCTGGATTTTGCCTAATTTGTCTAAGTAGAGTCTCAAATGATAATATAAAAAGCAGAGGAGAGAGTGGGCAACCTTGTCTAACTCCTTTTCTTATTTCTAAGCTCTGGGTAATTTCACCATTCACTATAACATTTGCCTTCTGATTGGAGTATATTGTTGTTATCATGTGCTCAAATTTAGTTCCTAAATTCATGTTATAAATTTGCTGTATCATGAATTGCCTGTTCAAATTGTTCAATGCTTTCTGAGCATCCAGAAAGACAAGTGATATTTGTTTCTCTGGGTGGGCATCATAATATTCTAAAATATCTATTACTGTCCTCAAATCCTAATTTGTCTGCCTGGCAGAAATCCATTTTTGTCTGAGTGAATGTATTCATTCAGAAGTCTCTTCAGTCTATTCGCTATGATGGTTGTAAATATTTTATAGTCGATGTTTAATAATGATATTGGTCTATAATTTTGGATTTGTCTTGTGTCCGTGCCCTCCTTCGGAATTAGCGAAATAAGTGCATCCCTCCATGTATCTGGCATCTTAGCATCTATCATATCATCATTTTGTTTCTTTCTATTGTATGATGGTATTCTCCATTTTCATCTTGTGGTTGGTGGATGATTCTTTTTTCTCTTTCTTTCTTAAGTTTATAAGAGACCCACCTTCCCAGTTTGTTAGCTTGTTCAAAGAATGTTTGTCTAGCTATTTTTAGATTTTTCACCATTTCTTCTTGGTCTACTAGATTAAGTTTGTGTTTAGTTAAATTCAATTGTTCTTTTAATTTAATATTTTGTGGAGCTTTTTGTAATTTAGTCTCTAATTTCTTAATTATTTCCTGCAACTTATTTAGTTGAGCAAATTTTTCTTTGTTTCTTTTTGTTGTATATATTATGATCCCCTGAGTAACTGCTTTCATGGTATCCCATAAATTCTGTGTTGACGTGTGTTGTCTATTATTTTCCTTAAAGAAATATGTTAGTTCTTCTTTCAGTTTCTGATCAAATTTGGTCTCTTTTAATATTTGAATGTTTAGAGTCCACCTACGTCTTATTTTCTTTCTACCTCTCCAGCTTATTTTAAGTGGGTTATGGTCAGCCCAACAATTTGGTAAAATTTCTATGTCTTCCACTTCCTCTCCTATTTCTCCTCCCATCCAGGCCATATCAATATGTGACCACGATTGGTGTGGATTGGAATAAAAAGTGAATTGTTTTTTTTCTTGGTGTAGTTTTCTCCAAACATCTATCAAATTAAATTCTGTAAACATTTGAAGACATGCTTTTGGTAGTTCTCTTCTTTTCTTTCCCTTTTTCTTTTCACCTTTAGTCTTTTTTGTGGTCTACTATTGCATTGTAGTCTCCTATGATACAGATATTTCTTTGTTCTAATTCAATAACTTTTTAATGTAAATTTTGTAAAATTCTTGTTGGTTTTTATTGGGTGCATAGATTACTAATAATAATACTGATCTGAGAGCTATCCACACTTCCAACATCAACATTCTTCCATTGGGATCTGCAAAAATTAATTTCGCTTTTGTCTCCTCTTTAATATATACAGCTATTCCCTTCTTTGTTCCTTTATCTGCTGGAGCAGTGTATAATTTCCCTAATTTGGGATACTCTAAATATTTTTTGTCCATTTTTTGAATATGTGTCTCTTGTAAGCATATTATATCTACTTTTTGTTTGCTTACTTGTGCTAATGTACTTTTCCTCTTTATTGCCGAATTTAAGCCATTTATATTAATTGATAATAGATTTATTTCTTCTCCCATTCTCTTAATTGTACCTAATTCCTTGTGTTCTGATTGCCCGTATCTCTCTTTGTGCTCTGGTTGTTGTTTTTTGGTCTTCTTGTTCCTGTTGTTGATGGTCTGTGGTTCTCGTTCTTTCTTCTTCCTCTTTATTCTCTTGTTGCTGATATTCCTCTTAGGTATTTGATTCAAGTTCCTCCTTGTAGCTCTGATCTTCCAGGCCGACTAGCTGGTCATAAAAGTCCTGTGCCTTGTCTGGGGTATCAATTTTAATTCTCTTTTCTTCCCACGTAATAAGCATCCCTTTGGGAATCAACCACCGAAAGAGAATGTCCCTTTTGTTCAATTGTGCAGCAAGAAATCTATAGTCCTGTCTCTGCTCCCTCACCCTTCTCAGGACCTGTTTCAATATCTGAATCTCCTTTCCCTTATAGACAGCAGATCTCTCGATATTCTATAAACAATGTCTCATACCTTTCTTCTTGTAAACCTTATGTGTACTTCTTTGGGGAGTTTATGTCACCTGGCATAACTCGTGCTTACCCTATACACATCATCTAATTCGTTCAGTATTTCATTTTTGTCTCTTCCTAATGTATTTGCTAAGATTTCGGCCATCACCATTTCCAGGTCATCTTCCTTGGTTTTCACCACATTTTGGAATCTAAGATACGATGCTGCCTGGTCCATCTCAATATGGATCAAGCAGTCTTCCATTTCTTTGTTTATTATTTTCAATTGTTGATCAACCCTTTCTAATCCTTTTTCAGTTTGTTCCATTCATTTTTCAACTTCTTTTATTGTGTGTTCATTCTTTTCTAAGGCTTGTTGGATTGAGCCAACTTTCTCATCCAGTTTAGATATGTCCAATTTCATTTCAGTTTTTTAGTTTTCCCATTTCATTTATATCTGCTCTCTTTTCTGTATGATTCTTCATCATTGTTTCCTGAAGCTTTAGCATCATTTCCTGTAATGTAAATAATGTAGACTGTATGCTGATGCTAGAAGCAGTGTTCTGTTTTTCAGCCATTAGCATCTCATCAATTTTTTTTTGTATCACGGGTGAAGCTACTGTCATTGAAGTTGTTGCCACTGGTGTAGGTTTTTTCCCCAGTCTTCAATGTTGTAGTAGTGATGCTTGTCATTTCTTTTGTATCTCAGTCTGCTTTCCTAAAATACTATACACATTATCCCAAATTGGTATTAACTAATATGGATTGTTAAAATTATTATTAGTATTTATAAAGTTACCAATATAATTTTCCCAATTCTTGAATGCTTATTTGAGTGATTATAGATTTTCCAGTTCTTTCACAATCAGCAACCCTCTATTAATAACTTAAATACACAATTTATCTTATCCCTATATATATATATCTAAATGAATCAGTATAGATATATGAAAATATACATAAATAATGTATTAACTATAAGTATAATAGATATGATAGATATATAACAATCCCCCCCTTTTAATTAAGTAATCTGTTCAAATATATATAATAATATATGTCAATAGGTATTAATTATAGCTCTAATAGATAGGAGTACAATCTCCTAAGTGTTAATAAATATGCTATATTGGATACAATTAAATACAATTAAATGAATACAATCTAAATTAATATAGAAGTTTATATACAAGTATAATCAAGTCTTACTAAATTTATCTACTCTTAATTTCTCAAGGATCTTATAAAAACCACTCTCCTAGAAATTTGTATAAATATAAACACTTATTTCATTAAATCTCCTGGTTAAATCTCTTAGGTTTTTATAATCAGAAGAAAGAAAAAGAGAAAAAGAAAAAGAAAAACATATGCGGACAAAAAAATGTGTTAATAATCCAACAATTCACCAGATAAGAGTCAAAATGCTAATAGTTGTTCTTTTCAATGGACATCTGCTGTCTCTTCAACTCCAGCTTCTTTGTTTTAAGTTCGTCACTTCCTTAGCAGGGTTCAATTATTACTGTCCACGCTTAACACAATCAGATTCTTTTGTTCTTTTAGGTTGAAGAAATTTCCTCAGATCTTCACTTTCCCTTTTCTTTGCCCCTTTTTGGTTCATCACAATTTTTTTTAATACCTCTCTCGGGCAGTCTGTTCCTCTGTTTCTCTCTGATCGCTCTCACCTCTGCTTGTTCGCTGCCTCTGGAGCTCCAATTCTTCTTTTCTTGTCTCCTTCACCCTCTGCAATTTACAAACTTTCTTCCAAATTATTCCAGTTCTCCGCGTTCTCTCTCTGCGCTGTCCAAATCAATTCAGCTGCAGCCTGTCTCCTATATTCCGTCTTCCTTACAGCTGGGCTGTTAGGACCTCAGGACTGCCATTCACACACACTCTATTGTGTGCTGGGCTCAAAGGTTTCCTCTTCATCGCGAGGGCTGTCGCCCACCACCGCTTCGCTCCTAGAGTGTCCCCACACATCACGATTCTCTCCAGGATTCGTGTTCCCCACAGGATCACTCCAGCACCAAGGAAAGGGGATGAAGGAACGAGCCCATTCTTCGTCTCCTCTCTTTGCCCTGACGTTACCACCGGAAGACCTAACACATTAATTTTTTCTACTGATTCTCCTTTTTGGTGTGCATTCACATGTGTCACTGCTATTTTTCTAGGTTTTTGTAAGGAATTCATTATTTTGTTTATCAGAGTTTCTAGTGTGTTCTCACCAGAACCACATGTTCTTACTTGAACAGAACTACTTACCCCTAGGTCCATGCATGGAGTTGTACTAGTTCTTTTCCCTTGCTATTTATCATTCCTCTTTCCACCCAAATCTGCCAAAAGTATGCACTATCCCAAACGCATATTTGGAATCTGTGTATATTGTCTCTATTTTTCCTTCCAAAATGCATAGAGCTTGATTTAGTGTATACAATTCACAAGTCTGAGCAGACCAGCTTCGAGGCAGACCCCCTGCTTCCAGGATCTCTTTACTATGTCCATTTATAATAGCATACCCCTTTTCTCCGTGCTCACCCTCCCCCTAGAAGAACCATCTATAAAAATTGCTTCAAAAGGCAGTGTTCCTCCAAATCAAATCTTACTTCAGTTTGTAACTCTATTACTTCAGAACAACAAGGTTCTAATCCATATTGATCCTCTGATCTAGTGTTAGTTAAGAACATTCAAATTATAAAACCAAATCTGTCCTGCTGCATCAAAATCGCAGCAGCAATCGCTTGAAATCATAATGGCCATCCTCTTATAACCGGATCCATTATTTTTGACGGGAATGCTACGGCTTCCTTTGTCCTGCCCAGTCCTGAGCCATCACGCCTTGTGCAATTCTCCTTAGAGCTGCTCGGATCATCCAGAGAGTGGGTGGTGCTTCAGTCTGCGTCGTTGTAGGCTGAGCTTAATTACTGAGGAACGCTCCGCCTTCCATCACATGGCCCCGTTACAGCATTCCCCAGTTTATGCTCAGCCTTGTGCAGAGTATCCACAGCCGCACTCAGGGCGAAGCTATAGCAGCACCTCCCCCCCCCCCCAGTAGTTGTCTGGGAGTTAAAGCTGCTGGAGGCCTTATCTTTCCAACCCGGTGCATTTGGCCTCAGGCGTTCATTTGACTAATTGGATAAATAAGCACTTGGGTTGATTTCCTATTGGACCAGGATCCAGACTTAAGCATCAAAATACGTATTTTCAAAAAGAGAGACAATAATCAAACACGTATACAAGAATATATTCATATGTATATATTTAAGTAAATAAATGAATTATATATCGGACTCCCTTGTCCT